ATGAATGAGAGACTGCTGCTTTGTAGGCAGCATTTTTCCAGGACCGTCTCTGCTGTGTGTTTGTGTGTGTTTGCGTCGACACCGCTCGCGATAGGCGTGGTTGTCGTTCGCGATTGGTTCAGAACCAAGTTCAAGCCCCCCAATTGCAGCCGATGAATAACGATTCTCTTTGCTCGTTTCGCTGAGAACTGGTTTGGAGGGGAGGGGCAAGTTTCTCGCGCTGTTCAAAGGGGAACCTGCAGGTAGCTGTTATGTATCACACGTTCGTGGCCGAACCCTACTTGTGCGCCGGGCACACACGTTGGTTCGGTGCCGACGTTGTTTCGTGCAGGCAGCTACGAAGAGCTTTCGCCGCCGCGCCGCGTCTCGTCGACCATAGACGTTTTGATATGGGTGTTTTTTCGGACTCGGTTCTGATGGGTACATGTGCGTGCCTCCCCGGGCACATCCTCGCCAGCAGTGTCGTCGATTTTTTGGCGCTTTTCTTTCTCTCGGCCTGCACGCCCATGATTGCCGTTGTGTCGGGACTTCTTGGCACGCCTGGAGGCGAGTTCCTTGGGGGTGTGATAGGGTCCTTTGGCGGTAGCTTTCGGTCATGAACCAGCGTTTCCGCACGTGAGTTTCTTGTTTCGATTTCGGAGACGTAGCTAAGTTCCGAAGGTTTTAGGTGTAAACCGACCCGCACTGGAACAGGTGCGAGAAAACGGCGTTTGTTTTTGGTTTTCTTGCTCTGCTCTACATAGTTACGTTTCAGACCATTTGTTTTACAACAAAAGAAACGGGCGGTGGTACATAATACGTTTGTATTTTAAGATTATGAGTTGTGCGATGAATTAGCGTGCACCTCCCTCCCCTCTAAGTTTTCGTTGGGCTGCTTTGGCTTGTGATAGTACAGCATTTGGCAGAAGGCTGCAGACAGGTCAGCAGGGCGATGCGAGTGGGTAGACACGACAAACAGCCAGCACTGCAATGCTGTGTGCCTTTCTTGCGGCTGGTGTAGTTTGGACGAGTGACCGTGGACCGGTGCAAACGTGATGTCATTGGTGCTGTGGAGGAGGTATTTGTGGTGAAGTAGAAATACTGTAGGAAGGAAGGTGGCGGGGGGCGGGGGTAGTCGTGTTGCATGCGTTAGCGGTTAGACCATTGACCACGCGTCCTCGGGAGGTTGGTGGTGGTTGGGGGAACCGAGACGAAGACGTACTGGATGTATTTTTTTTTCGGTTGGAAATAGTTGTGTGGCTAACTCCGTGGCGGAGAGGGAAAAGGAGAAGGTTGTTTAAAGCACGACACGTTGCTCAATCGGTTCCATCAACGGCAGATGTTTTTCAACCGAGGGCTGTCCTAAGATGGGTGTGGGGTTTGGAAAGAGCTCCACGTCTTTGCACCCCCTATCGTAGCAACTCTGTCACACATTACTGGATATGGGGATACAACGAAGGTCCCTCGCGGCGTGTCCAGGGTCGCTTGAAGTCGGCGATCATGAGAAAAAACGGCTGCCCGTCCGAGGTAGTTTCGGAGGGATGTGTTGATGACGTCACGCCTTTACATCGAGGGGCGTGGATCTCTAGCCGTGCTTTTGTGGACATGTTTCGGGGTGACCGGCTGTTTCTCTCGGGACGCGTGGAACGAAAGCACTTGCAATCCTATCACCTCAGTATCCGGTGTCCCCACCATGTATCCAAGCGAGAGAGATTGAAACCTAAAATTGACTTGGAAATGTCCGTCCCCAGACTATATCCAACGGCCAACTATTTTAATCGTGGAGACCCTGCGAATATCCGTCGCATGCCCATGTAATCTCTGAACACGTCTGTGCACAAGGCGGAGCCGGAACAGACTCTGAAGCACAACAGAGAGACTCGACCGTACGGCGAGCTAGCGCCGGCCCCCGCTCGATACACCCAGAGTGCCTGAATAACCCGAACTGAAGGGATACTTCTTTAGTGAATTCGATGTCAACAGTGCCATGCGCATACTAACAGCCTTACAACGAAGACTCTCCCAGGTATAGACAGACAGACAGACAGAACGAAGCGTTGCGTGACATCAACAGGACGATGAAACGTAGCGAGGGTAGAGAAGTTCTCCTGTGTTTCACCAGCGGACCAGTGTGCCTTCAAGGGCCGATTCAGGAACCGCTTGATCTGCCATTTTCAAGTGTGCATCTAGAGCACATCGGGAACAAGTTCGTCGGGTGCTTAGACATTGACCGCAGGGTGCAGTATATCAGACCGACCGGTGGACTGTGCACGCCTGAAGGCATTTCTTCAGCCGTCGGTTATTTCCTCTCACGCGCAGAGCAACGTCTGTAGGAGCACCCAACGTTCCAAAACAAAACTACAAGAAGAGAGGTGCTCCCACGTTCCAAAACAACACTACAAGCAGAGCGGTGCTCCGAACGGTAAAGGCGGTAGAACTTGTTCTTCCAACTCTAGTATAACACGTCAAACAACAAGCACTCAACCGACAAAAAACGACATTGTCAATGTGACATCCACATGTATTTGCCCCAAGTAAGAGCCGGCCAGTTGATTTTTGTTCTCAGCGCACAACAACAGTTTTCATTTGATGCCGCCCCCTGCTTCCCGGAGCACCCTCCCGGCGTTCTCACGGAACTCCGTGAGGGTCATGCCCACATCACTCTCCGTCTTCATCCTGGCCACGGCTCGCAGGATGTTATCCACGTGGTGGGGGAAGCGCTCCAATAGGATGCCCGGCCTCTCGTTGAGCATCACGATTAGTCTTGCCTTGGAAACCAGCTGAGTTCCCGGCTCAGGCTGTTAGTTTCGTAAGGGGTGTGTTGTCCGTAAGGGTGTGGGCGTCATGGTGGTAGGTGTGATAACGGTGCGGGGGGGAGGGGAGGCGGTCGTTTAAGTTTCGTCATTGGTAGTCAGGACCGATGGCTTTGTGGATAACGACATTGTCGGGATATATATATTTGGTGCTCGTCGGTTGGACTTGTTTCGGATGGGGTTCGCTGAAGGATCAGCCCCCTGATCGTGCGTGTGCAGAGATCGTGTGTCACGGTCAAAGCCACGGCGAGCGCAAAACGACCGGTCAGGTCACCACCCCACCAAAAACGTGACACACTTACAAGAAGCACACCAGGAACGGACCTCTTCTGAAATGTGTGCCAATAATACTTCAACTGGTGGTGGTACCCACCGCTGTGTGGTTGTTTCCAACAACACCGGCGGCGCACTACACAACAAGTACTCGTACCAAATCTACAGAGCATCTCACCGACAAGTCCTGGAAAAACCGACTTGACTACATGCACTTGAAGCCTCGTCATACCTCTACGGCTTGGAATATTTCTTGGAGGAGCCTGGCTCTTTCCGTTGAAGTTTTCCTACAGGCGTGTTTGGCTTTCTCCTCGCCTGTTCTTTGGTCCTTCTCGGAAGGATAACCTGGGGCCTTGTACGGATTCTAAGTCGGTCGCGGGCAGCGGGTAGGTGCACGGATGCCGAACGCGAGGGATATTGTTGTTTGGTGCCTGTAGCGCGGTTTCGACAATACGTCCGTCCTTCGCATTCCTTACTCTGCACACTCATGCAAGTGAAGGGAACATCGTGGGTCCCTCTGGTCGCCAATTTCTTGGGACGCCGCAACCGTGTTTCAACGGGCACATGACTGTTGTTGCTGAAGAGCACACCGTGTCCTTGTAGTCCAATAATACCAGAGCATCCATGTGCCGAACAGTACAGCAGTTGCTCACTATGTAAACAGTAGAGCAACAGATGGCAACGTAGGTGCAGCACGGCGGCATGCACGACCCTTGCGTCGGCGCACTATCCAGCACGCTCTCTCTGGCTCACCTTCTTCATTTGGGTGATCAGGAACGCAATGGGATCCTGGGGCTTGCTTAGAAGGACCCTACGGTGGACAGGCGAACGCAATTCAAAGGAAGGTGCGTGGAAAGGTGTTGGTCTGTTGGTGCCTATTACATGCATGCGAAACACGCGGAGAGGTGTGAAATGAGGCCCAGAACTTGTGGGATGACACGCGATTCAGTCTGTCGATCAAGCCCGTACTGTAGTCGACTGCTGTAGACAGTAGCTTACACTACTTAACAAAAACTGGCATCAATTTTGGCTACAGGTTCTCGAACGGCAGTTGTCAACTCATTTTCATGGCAACCTTAGTAAAATGTACAGACCGTCCTTGTAGATGGTTACAGCAGACTGGTATGGTACGGTTGGATCATCTATTCCCGTTTCACACCGTCGGAGGTATTCCTGCATCATGCCCTGGAGATCGATCCTTTCGGCGTATAGCGCCATGTCCTCCATCAGCACAACATTGTCGGGTAGGCTAACCGGCGGTATGGGGGCACGTGCAGCCGCCATGCTTCCCAGGTAGGGTACAGCCCAGTGGAGAGCCTGGCGATTGTTTTTGTTCGTAGAATGGTGCCTACGAGAACAAGAAGAGAGAGAGAGAGAGAAGGAGCGATGCGGATATGCGGATCGTGCAGTGCGTATTCAAAGGCGGCGGGAACTTTGAAACGGGGGAACGTCCGAAACGGCACTTTGGCCGCGGGAGAACCATTCCTTCCTCTCCTCTGCACCCTCGTATCTGTCGCTCGTATCTGTCGTTCTGTGTACCTTGTGTTGAAATTAGGAGATCTCCTCTCTCTCATTTCCAAGCCACTACTTGCGTACGGCCCTCCACAGGTCTGCCTGTGGGTGAAAAGAGCAGGCCAACGGCAAAATATATTTGCTGTTTACCCCGAAACACCCGTCGATCCAGCACCTACCTCCAGCGCAAGCAGCTTGGATACCCGGCTCCAAGTGCCCAACACGCACAGACCATATCGGTCTTTCCGAACAAAGACGTAAAGGGTACGTTTGCTTGTCGTGGAGTGTACTGGACCGTAATCTCAGCATAGACACCCATGGATATCGAGACGTCGGAGCAGCTAGCCTTCATCCCGGAGCAGGTGGAGAGCATCTTGATGACAGTCGTGGACGGTATTTTGCGCACAGAAGTTTATCTCGAAGAAAAGGTGAGAGGGATTGCGTGTTGTTGTTAGACTATGCGTTTGGCCCATGATTCAAGTTGAAACACTTACTTTGGCAGAAGGACATTCGACTGTTTGTCGCCTTGGCTCGAAGTTCGGGCACTCGCCATCAACTGGCGTATTGCGTGCACTCCTCATACATTCTTCACAGCAGATGCTGTCACGTTGTGGGGTACTCCTGCCACTAGCACGGCATGGGTACCTGGAGTATCCCAACACATCGTCCACGGGGAACCTACTACACACGTTGGTGAACTGCAAATGATCAACGAGCGTTCTCGGTTCACGGACATTGTGTGTTTTCATTTTCTCCTGTAACACGCCAGGCCGGTATTGGGTGTACCTCGGACAGCAGTTGGGCACATTTCACAACACCACCCACGTTCGTAACAGGATGGGTTCGTCGTTGAAGGAAGTTTTAGAATCACCCCTTATTGGTGTCAAAAAGCGGACGCACATTTAAGCTTTTGAAGCGTCCATTTTCCGTGCTGGGTACTCCATGCCTCAAGTCATGATAACCACGGTGAAGCATTGACTGCGAGGCTAATAATTCAACGCGATTGGCCGGTTTGAACGTAAGAGACCATCGCCAGCAGGTTCCCTATCAGTTGCGAGTACTATTATAGCTGCTCCAGCGGCCTCTCCCTTTCCCCTTCCTCGTGAGAAGTGCGGTCAGGATATTTGTGTTTTAACCAATAGCCTACTGCTGCGCTTGGCCGCACATGCTCAAACTTCCTTTGTATCATCCCACCCTAACGATAGCTTGGATCGTTCTCGTTTTTCTCCGGTCAAGGTTTCACACTGGGTTAACACGATATGTGACAGAAGTATGCAAGAGCTTCACGACCTCAGCAAGCCATTCAAGTACGTGGTGTCTTGCGTAATTGTACAGAAGAACGGGGCTGGATTTCACATTGGACACAGCGCATACTGGGATATCAGCAATGACAACATATGCCAGGTATAACATGGTGACAGCGAAAAAGTGGAAAACTCGACAAGAAGTAGAAGGACACTAGAAAATGTTCCTACTCTCTGGCATGTTTTGTATGTTCTTGATTGCGATGCATTCGTTCATGGGGTGGTAGGTTGCTCTTCGTACATCCATTCTTCCGCCACGAACCGAGCTTCGGCTACCATCTACGATGCCACCTGTACCAAATGTGGAGGACCTCAACCCACACAAGAAGAAGGCGAGCTCTGCTAGAGGGTTAGATGGCATCAGTGGTTGTTGGTTACAACTTGCATGCGATTGTACTCTGTACCACCCTGCTCCTACTCGTACATACCAAGGAAACCAATCACCCACAATACAACGTGCCGGATGCTGTCCTGGTCTTCCTCTCTTGACCGCTATCTTCAGTTCATACCCTCGACGTCACGGTAAGTGATGGCCAACGACGTTTATTTTCCAACACACCCGTTGTACTCTACGTTGTTTTTCCGCCCATGTGTCCTTCGTCAGGTGGCGTGGCCGACCGACAAGATGAGAGAGCAACAGGGGAGCCGAATGAAGTGTGTCGTCACTGTTTTTGGCCTCTCATTATGAACCCGCACGCAGCAGGAACTCCGCATGCCAAACGACATGGAAGTGGGGCATGTCCATTTGCAAACTTTTTGGTTTCACATCATCTTCGCGGAGCTCCAATTGAAATGTGACCAACGCGGTTTACTTGGGAACTCCGTTTGAACTACTCTGTCACAGAGACCATCGCGTTCATTATTGGATGCCTGAGAGAACAAAGCGTTCATACCCCCGACCCATGCGGTAACCTGGCCGCAAAGAAAGAAAACGGTGCCAGGGCATGAATAATGGGCATCCGCCAGCACGGTTCTGCACAGCACGGTTTATGGAGAGAGTTGTCGCAGTGACTGATCCAACGTGGCTTATCTCTTTGCCCTACAAGAGTACTCGCCAGGCTTCCCGCAATTGCGATGCAAGATTTGTTCAATCTGTTATTATTCTATGTCAACGTGTTACAGTCGATTTTCTCATTGTTCAACTCTCCCGCTGGCCGTTTGATAGCTTCTTAAGTGTAAGGTGTCCGTCACCTCAACCAGGCACTCGGGATCAGCTGGTTTACATGTAGGTGCAATTCGTCCAATATGCTTGTCTTCTCAAGCTGTACCAAGCCATTTTTCATTTAGTAGTTGGCTCCTGTGTTTGCCGCACCGACCCCGACGGAAAGTATCTTGGGCCGTTCCATGTTTCTGGAGAGCTGACTGCACGTTCTACGTAGTGGTATTGTGTAGTATGTTGCTGAGGTGTGAAAAACGTAGTCTATGTAGGCATCCCAGTCGCGTCACACACTACATATAGCAGTACATCAGGTTCCAAGGACCATCCTTCATTCACACAGAGCTTTTGTTCTGCCTCTCCCTCATCTAGAGATCGTGGTTTTTGTTGTGGCAGTGGGGGTTGGTGTCTCGGCCCTGTCGGGGTGTGAACGATTTACGCACGGACAATTCTTGTCGAGGCAGACATGCTGCGGTGCTACAGATGACGACACGGCCTGCATACCCTCTGTATGAATCAGCTGTCACCACGTATCAGGAGCCCTGAAGGAAACGAACGCATACAATAAATACGTCTTCAGCTGGTTTCTTGGTGCGTTCCACGAAACATATATGTGCACACAGTTACGGTATTCTAGGCCTGGAGCATAGAACAATGGTCGTCTGAGGCGTAGCAGAGGTGGACTATTTCTCAACTCGGGATATACCCTGACTTCAACAGTGGCAAACTTCGTCTGAAAATAACAAGACCCCCCCAGCAACACGAGCCGACAAGCATCCGCTGCGCTCGGAAGACTAGTCATGAACAGATAACCCTCCCTGAAACATGGAACTCGTTTTTGCACATGGCATTCACATCCACTCCCTTCAGCCCCGACCGCGATTGATACTCAGCATGCTCGATGCAACCACGAGTCGGTGTGCCAGGGCATCAACGAACAAGAAGCCACAAAAAGGTACCATGTCTCAATTGGCGTCGTCGTCAAAGTCAAACGGCACTTGTACGTCTAACCCCGAATTTTCACACCTTCTCGCCACGTAACGGGCGAAATTGAACGAACCGTAACAATAAATGACGGACCTCCTTCTGACCGACCAAGTCCGCGGAAGCCGGGAAATCTACCAACCAACACCAAAAGGTATTGCCACGGCGGAAGACTGCTGATCCGCAGGTACGCGATCACGACTAACCGGCTTGACGATGTCAGAGACTCGTATGCTGCTAAAAGCACACACGGTGTCACCTGCTAACATATTCTCTTGTTCGTTCTCGAGCTCCTATTTCAACCTACTTGTGAGATATGTACTCTACTACCACCAGCACTACCCTTGACTTTCTTAGACGAGGAATGCCTTTTTTCCGACTCGTCTTTGTAAAATCCGCCACTTGCATGTGCCCATGCCCCTTGGCCCCAAAGCTACGTTCAACAAAAATGTCAAAGAGATGTAGTTATTCGGGCCAAGACATTCATTCCATTGTGACACTGCAGCCCGCTGTGTAGGCACGAGGTCTGTGGTGGTCGCCGGGGATAGAGGATGGTGGGAGTTGCCGCTGGCACCGCCGAGGGCGGAAGAAGGATGGCCGGGACAATGAGTGGCGTGGACGGCGGCGGGGGCGGTCCCGGCGGACCGTCAGGGGTGCCTCACAACTTTTTGCTAGACCACGTTTCGCCGGCGACGCGTCTGCTCGAAAAGCGGCGACAGATGTTCGAAATACAGGAGGCCCTCGAGGCGCAGAAGGAAGAGTTCTCCAGGTACGCATGTGTGCGTGAGAGAGAGAGAGGGGAGGGGCGGGGCCACGCGTTTACGATATGATATGATAGTCTTGTTTGTGTTTGATGTCATCTGGTGGATTCTCGAGGGAAAACGCAGCGCTAGTAGTGTTATACTCTAGTAGTGTTATACTACTGTAGCTCTGGATGCGGCAGGGGTGATTTCCAGGAGAGGTTTGCACCTCAATATACACACAACGCGCAATGGACGCTTGCCAAAAACGCTGGTGGGTACATGACACTATCAGGCCTAGGTGCCACGAGGAATCTAGCCTGCGTGATCTAGAGCCATACGTCTTTGGAGATAGGGGAAGCTTCACAGAATTGAGTATGTCGGGATATTTAATGGTTGGTATTGTTCAGGTTGGCGCTCAACAATCACTCCACTGTTCACACACCGAGCCTGGAAAAAATGTTAAAGACGACGTTGACTTGCTAAAATCCAACACCGTGACGCGGAACATCACGAAAGGTACGCGGCCTTCAATATCCGTTGCTGTCGCACCCTGTAAAACACGATTGTGGTAGAACCAAGCGTGTCCGTATGCGTGCTGATTCGATAGCACGATATTCGTGAGGGGGTTATGTAGTACACGCTTTCTTTCTGCTACGTCATTGACCGTCGACGACCTCTGGCCTTCGCTGCTCATAGTCACCTGTCCTGGATCATCTCAAGGGAATCTCTAACGAGCCCAGGCTACTCAATCTAGGAGCGTGGCATAGAAGTGCCGTCTAAAGCGTGTCGGGTCGCACAAGCTGACGACAAACGACGCTCGATTGTATCGCGACATTCGAACGAGTAATCGTGCCTCCTTCTATAACGTGTGGACCTCATCGTTTCGGCCACAAGCTAATCCGACTACCCCCGCCAACACAAACGAAAATACGCATCTCCTCCCAGGCGGGAAGATGCGTTCCGAAGACGAGAGGATGCCCTACGGAAGAAGGATCTAGAACTGCAGGAATCCCTCATCAAGTTCAACAAGTTTCTCCAGGCAAGCAAGCTGTTGAAGAAATATTTTCAAGACTATCGCATCGCTATTCCTCGGCAGACACAAGACCGATACCACACTCGAACAGTCTTCATCTAGATAACACATGAAAAAATGCTCTAAAGAAAGAAGGCCTAGAGCATTTTCAATCGGGTGGACGGAGGAACGACAGAAAAAATGTTTTTTTTTCCCGTTTCGTGTTGCCTCAGCCTTCTTCCACATGAACGCTGATCTAGATCGATGGTCTACGTGGATGAAGTCAAAAGAGGGAGGAGGGAGTATCAACGATGTCATGATAAAATGATACACATTGCATCCTTCATCAACGAAGCACGGAACAACCAAAGCGAAGAGAGTGCACCAAAAAGCGTCAAACTTCCTTAGCGATGATATTTAGTTTCTACACGTGGCCGCCATTGTCTTGTTGCACCAACTAACCCGCGCAGGAAAACGAAAGCAAACGGAACAGGGCGGTAAAGCGGGCGGGCGACGAACGCAAGCAGCGGGAGCAAAAGGAACAGGAGATCATCAAGCTGAGGAAGCAGTGCCGAGAGCGGCAAGACGAGGAGACACGTCTCAAGAGAGACCTTGAAGAGCACAGACGCTATCACGACTTTCTCGCCCAGGTACATCTACAGTTGGTGGCGTGGAAGCGGCGGTGATGGGGTTTGGAACGGCGCAGGGGGGGGGCGTACTCTTACGTTTTGCATGCCTTGGCGGTTAGACCAATGGCACAGGGGGGGGGGGGGGGGGGACCTAAAAAAACTCCCGGCCCAAAATGGGTTGGGGCCCCCCAAAATTGGGGATTTTCCCCCCCACGGGGGGTTTGGGGTCAAACCCATCTGCGACCCCCAAAAAGTTTAAACCCCCCGGGCATTTTTTGGGGGGGCCCCCTTCCCGGTTTAAAAGCGGAAAACCCCCCCTTTTCCAATGGCGACCCCCCAAAAGTTTTCCCCCACCGATTGGGGCGAGGG